TACATTTATAATATACACATGTATATAATGTAAGGTATATAATATACACATGTATACACACACATGTATATATATATATATATATATATATATATATATATATATATATATATATATATATATATATATATATATATATATATATATTATATACTTATAATTATATAATACTTTAATTACAAAATGTATTTTTGTAATTAAAGTATAATATATTATATATTAATATATATATATATATATATATATATATATATATATATATATATATATATATATATATATATATATATATATATATATATATATATATATATATGACAATTTCAAAAAATCTGTATGAAATATATTCCTGGCTAACACCCTAATATTAATATATTTAATTATTTATTTTTAGGAATAAAAGTATTTAGTTGCTATGTCATCACGGATTACACAATGGAGAAAAATTAATAAATCAGTAATTGATTGATTTACTGAGACAGATAGTACAATAGAAACAGATAAACAACAAATAAATGTTTCAGATTATAGAGTTCTTTCTGAAGAATCGATTGAGCAAGAAGTTGAAGGTGTTGAAGAAACAGATTTCGACTCAGATTCCAATCTTGACTCCGCCGGAGTCTCCGATAGTTCTGATTCTAATTCTTGTTTCTTGAATCATGGAAACTTTATAGATGACAAAATAATAAATGGAAATCTACGTGAAGAATTAGCAGAATGGGTTGTTGTAAACCAAACTTCACATTCTGCAACAAATCAACTTCTTTTTATTTTGAGGAAAAATGGCCACACAGAGCTTCCAAAAGATGTAAGAACATTATTGAAAACTCCAAGTAACATTCCTCTGAAGAATAAGTGTGGTGGCGATTACATTTATTATGGTTTGGAAACTAATATTTTAAAACATTTAAGCAAATTTCCAAATCTTGCGAAAATTGAATTAGTTGTTAATGTTGATGGAATACCATTATTTAAAAGCACGTCAGTAGCTTTATGGCCCATACTTAGCTCATTTTCAAGTATCCAACCATTTGCTGTAGCTATTTTCTGTGGTAAGAGCAAACCTTTATCTGAAGAAAGCTTTATGTTTGATTTTGTAACTGAGTTACCAAATTTATTACAAAATGGAATAAAAACTCAATATAAACATTACTTAGTTTCCTTTAAATCATTTTTGTTGTGATGCTCCAGCTCGACAATTTTTGAAGTCTATAATTAGCCATAATGGATACGATTCGTGTGAGCGATGTATTATTCACGGTGCACGTATTAGTCACAGACAAATTTTTTTGGGGTCAGGATAAACTCTGAGAAATGATACAGAATTTAACCTACACGGTTACAAAGAACACCAAAAAACTTAATGTACTCTAGCTAAATATAATATTCCATGTGTTACACCATTTGTTTTAGATATCATGCATTTGGTTTATTTAGGAGTAACTAAAAGAATTATTATTTTTTTCAACGAAGGTAAAAGATCATGCAGGATATCAGAGATTCAAAAAGCAGTTATTTCTGAAAAACTTAGAGAATTATCAGGAAAATTGCCCAGCGAGTTTGCAAGACAACCAAGAGGTATTGATGAGTTTAAACGCTGGAAAGCTACAGAGTTCAAAAATTTTCTTTTATATACCGGTATGATTGTTTTAAAAAATGTAGTTTCTCAAGAAATATATACACATTTCTTAAGCTTATCAGTTGCTATGAGTATAATGATTGATAATGATCTTTTGAATGATCATAAGTTGTTAATGTATGCAAAAGGGCTCTTGGAATGGTTTGTATATCGGTCATCATTTCTTTATGGACAAGAGTTCGTTACTTATAATGTTCATAGTTTGACACATCTGTATGAAGATGTGGTCAACCACAGCTGCAGTTTACAAGATATATCTGCTTTTCCTTTTGAAAACTATCTAGGCATTCTAAAATCTTATGTGCGCAAGGCACAAAGTCCCTTGTCCCACAATTGACAAAAAGAATAGAGGAGATAGAGAAATGTTGTGTAACAAGAAGCAAACAACAATCAAAAACTAAGATTTCAATTGGAAATAAAAATAGATGGTTTTTCATTCGTGGAGAAAAAGTAGTGCGTGTAAATAATGTCATTGGTAATGATATAGTATGCTATGTCTATCAAATATCTGATTTGGATGGGTTTTTTGATGATCCGTGTTGTTCTAAGTTGTTGCATATATATTTCCTTCATAAAAATGTACAATTCAAGAAACAATTTATAAAAAAAGATCTAATTATTAAAAAAGTATGTGGTATTCCATACAATGATGGGTATGTGTTGGTGCCGTTACACCACAATGTAAATTTTTGAATTATTTATCATTAAATAAAAGAGTTGTTTTGCATAAAAAAAAGTTATAAATATATATATATATATATATATATATATATATATATATATATATATATATATATATATATATATATATATATAATACATTTAAAACATATAATAAAGCACTTCATTGATGTCTCTTTCTAAAATAAATTCTTTAAAGATATAATTTTAAATTATTTATAGGTCTTTTTATATATTTAATGAGTGCTCATTAAATTTACTAAATAAATTACAGTCATCATTATGTTTTTTCCTTATAATAAGACTTTCAATGTTAACATTAATTGATTCCATCCTAGATGATGACAAAGAAGTATGTGAAGAGTATGGAGATCATGTGACAGCTGGAGAACTGGATAACAATGAAATGATGGTAAAGAGTTGTCCCAGCTTATCTGAAAAAAGACATGCAATTATTAAGTATATTCCAAAGCCAGTTCCACCGAAAATGCCAATAAGTAAAAATGATATATAATACTCAAAAATGATTATATTTATAACACTATTGTTTTCTTGTTTAATAATAATATTCTTGCATAATAATATAATTTCTTTCATAGGAACTGTTACGCCGGATACAGATGTTCCACAAAAAGCAAAAAGGAACAATTCAAGTCAAAAAATTTCATCTGGTACCTTTTGCCTTAGTGACATATTTATTTTAAATTATTTAAATTTTTTTTAGATTTTCAAAATAACATATTAATGGTTTTCACTATAATAAATGTTATGTCAAACTATTTTAATGTTAAATTGGTTTCTAAAGGTTATACTCAAACTTCTTCTATACATGGTGGTTATTCTGGACTTACTGCTTCATCAACAGCTCACATACCAAAGCCATTTCTTTCAACTACTACCTCTTCTACATGTGATGATTTTTCTATACGCAAACCAACATTAAACAGTCAGACTACTACTAGAATGTTAGAAAGCTCATTCACAAATATTTTCACCATTTTATCTGCTGTTATTTCTCAATCTTATGTTAATTACAACAGAAGAGATTCTGCTTGTGCTCGGGACGAGTTAATTTGCTCAAAAAATCTCGAAGATAATGGTAAGTTTGTTTACTATATCATTTGTGATTTACAGCTGTCTTTCAACTTGCTGTTGTTTTGTATGCAACATATTCATTCAAGTATATCATTTATTGTCATGGGAAAGGCCAATAAATGTTTGCGAGATAGGTGGGGATGGAAGAAATTCCTGTCCCCTTGCAGCTCAGCTCTCAAATATATATATATATCTATATATATATATATATATATCTATATATATATATATATATATATATATATATATATATATATATATATATATATATATATATATATATATATATATATATATATATATATATATTATATTTATAAAGTACTTTTTGTTTTCAAACTCAGGATTTCAACATATAGTATTACGGAGGTTGGCCCAAATAACCTTGCAAATGAGTGAAATATCCAAAAAGTTAGATGCAGTTAGTGGCACCAGAATGAAAGATGTTGAAGGAGAGATAATAATACAATTTGATGATATAGACGCTTTATATGAGTTCGATCGAAAACTTGGAGCTGACAAAAGGGTTTTTAAAAAGTTTGTAAGTTATTTTTCATTTAAATATAGTGTTGATTAGATTAAAATCTTGTGTGATGAACATGGCTACATTTACATTGATAGATCCTATAAGTATATTTTTTATAAATGTGTATATCATCAACTCCCGACCATCATGATTATCATGATCATTAGCATCATCATCATCATGATCATTAGCATCATCATCATCATTATGATCATCACCATCATCATCATTGTCATCATTATCCTTATCATCATCATCATCATCATCACCAATTTATTTATTTTGTCGTATAAATATTAAAGTATAATATTTAAATATTATACTTACGACAAAATAATACAAATTTAAAATATTTTACGCTAAATTGACTATTATACTGAAATTGACCATTATAGGTAAATTTGTGGGTATTTTTAAAAAACACCCCTCCTCATTGGCAAACCGCCCTGAAGTCAAGATTTTCAGGAGATCCACATAAATGATGCTGCTGATGATAAGAGGCCCTGAGCCCTGAAAATATTTAAAAAAAGTCATAAATACATTAAATTAATATCTTAATATTTATTAAATGTATTTATGACTTTTTTTAAATATTTTCTTTAACTTTCATAACAGATATTAGCTTAAACAAAATAAACAAAAACAGTGAAAAAGATTACAATACTATAAAAAAAATCTAACACCAGCTAGTAACCCGGGGCCGGTGCCGGATTTGTAAAAAGCTCTGTTTTGGGCCATGGCCCCGGTCACTTACTAGTAGCAGGATAACCTGACTTTTTATCTGCAAGGATGTTATCTAAAAATTCCATTGAAGATCTAGATGCTCTATTATGCAATATTGCCACATTGCTCCTATAGATATTGTTTTATTTTTATATCAGGTTATTCAGCTATCTTCCATTGGCGGTAACAATGGTAAAAAAAGTGTTGCAAACATGATAAACAGGTTGAAACATTTTTTAAATAAATAGTACTTACTATTTTTGCAAAGAAAATTAGTTTTTAAAAGCCATTTTTAATTATTGAAAAATAATGTTGAGTTTCTCTTTTGACATGTTAAAGGTTGATGACAAACAGACTTCAATCGAAATTCAATTTGGTTGGTTCCAAGGGAAAGGTTACTGTGAAGTTACCTATGGAAAAGTTAAATGTTTACAAAGCAATAATTGGTAGCTATAATGTTGATCTCTATATTTTTATATATTTATATTTCTTTTTAAAGGCTGCCTGTTGAAAATAAATGAATTTAGTTGAATTCACAAAAAGAAGATATAAAAATCTTCCTTGAACAAATTGAAAAATAAAATTAAATCAGTTTACATTAAAGTTGTAAACTTCATGTATTCGTATTAAATAGTGTAAATTGAAGACATTCTTTCTTTCTTTATCTACAGTTTTATTCACTTGACCAAATTTGATATTTTTGCATTTATTTTTTAGAATCGATTAAGCGCTGTGAGCCTAAAGCAACAGACAAAGAAACTAGGTCATTTATTGCCTCCTGCCTAAAATATGCACCTTATCGTTTGAATGGAGGTAAACGGAAATCTTGCAACCACGAAATAGAAAACGATGAAGTTCACAAAAGCGATGAAGAAATAAATCAAGGTGACGACGAATGCGAAGTCAAATGTGACGTTGCATCAAACAAAAGCGGAAGTAGTAGCAAAAAATAAAAATAAACTCTTAAACTCTAAATAAAATCTTACTTTCCCCCACTTATTAAACTTTGTAACAAATACTTTTTTGTAAATTTTTTAAATGTTATCTTTCGAAAACGTTTATAAAACGTAAGTTGTTTTTTCGACGTTGAATCGATGTTGATATTTCAACGTAGATTTCTTGTTTCCAAATCAACGCTTAAATCAACGTTAGTTCATCGTTGATTTATTGACGTTGAATCTATGTTGATATTTCAACGTCGATTTCTTGTTTCCAAATCAACGGTTAAATCAACGTTTGTAAATCAACGTACGCTCAACGTTGATTTATTGACGTCGAATCAATGTTGATATTTCAACGTCGATATTTTGTTTCCAATTCGACGAATAAATCGACGTCTGTAAATCAACGCGTTATCAACGTTGAATCAACGTTGAAATGCTTGGTGGGTTCATATAAAACAATTGCCAAAACCACAAAAAGATAAAAAAAGATGCAGGCTGTGTCAGAGTTATAGCAGAATGATGTGTGCAAAATGTAATGTTTTCCTTGGTTGTTAGCCAATCGCAACTGCTATGTAGACTTCCACAATTGAATAAAACGGTATTTAGTGCTTACAAACATTAGAATAAACATGTTTTTTGAACAAAAAGTTTTCTGCCTGTGCTGTTTATATATAGTTCAATAAAAATATTTTATAACATTGTTTTCAGATATTATCTTTATTGACCGATGATGCCATATGGCATCAAACCCAAATTTGACCAAAATTACAAAATTTTGAATATTTTTTTTCAATAACTTATTTTGTTAACTTAAATTGTTAGTATAACAAAACATAATATTTTTTACATTAATTTGTCATAATTTGGCCTGTAAAGGGTTAATAATTTTTTTTTTTTGAGAAAAAATAATATTATCTTATCTGATAGAAAATTATCGTCTTATTTAGTTTTTAGAAAAAGAATATACTTTTCGTTTTATATTTTTAGCGATTTTTAACCTTTTAGTAGGTGCATAAACAAATAGCAACGCCCTAGTAACCGTTTTGGATCAACCCAAACCTATCTAGTTCATTGCTAAGATTATGTTATTATAGGTCTATATTGTTATTATAGGTCTATAGGTCTATATTGTTATTATAGGTCTATATTGTATATTGTCTATATATTGTTTTCTGAGTCTGTTATGTGAAATATAACTTATCTAAAACTGCATTATGGGTTATTTTAAAATAAAAATGTTGTTTAACAGTGTGCTTGTTATTAAATAATTCTCTGTGATTTTCAAATTGTTTTACAGTTTATTTTTTAAGCTTTTAAATGGGTAATAGTAAAAATGTATCACGAGGAAAAAAACGTCGTAACATGTTTTAAAAATAGAAAGAAAACAACTCACTTTCTGAATAGGATAACACTTCTAAATTTAATAGCCTTAGAGGAGCTAAAATTAAATCCAGATTGCACTCATGTTGTTATGATAATGAGATTTACAGTATTATTTTGAATTTTAAACTTTTGAAGTTATTTTTGAAAGACTGTTTCTGTTGTCCAGAATGAAGCTCAAGTGATATTAGTTTGGTTGACAAGCTTTCATTTAGAATGGGATATGCGCATAAGTTAAGCTTGACTTGTAATGCATGCAAATTTATTAAAGAAACTTATACATCCACTGAATGTGTAAATATCAATAAAGTTCAAGGTCGAATAAAATTTGAAATAAATATTCGAGATGTAGCTTCTTTTCGAGAAATCGGTAGGGGACACGAATCATTAATCAATTTTTCACGATGTATGATTATGCTTTGAATTCAGCGCAAAACATATGATTCCATTTCAGAATTTTTACATGAAGTTTATGAAAATGCTGTAGAACAAAGTATGCAAAAAACTACTCATCAGATAAGAGAAAATTTGTTTGAGCTTACTAACCCATATCCATTATGTTGTGTATATAGTATCATTTTTGTTGTGTAAATAGCATCATTCCAGAGAAGTTAGAGTGCGTAGGTCATGTCCAGAAACGCATTGGGACAAGACTATAAAGGAATCTGGTCAAAGAATATAAAGGCACATTGACTCCTTTATCAGGGAAAGGAAAATTAACCAAAAAATTATTAATTCAATGCAGAATTACTATGGAATGGCCATACGTAGCAATAAAAATGCAATCTACAGTATGAAGAAGTCGATTTTGGCAATATTTTGGCTTTGCACTGAATTTGATGATGATAAATATCGCCACCAATGTTGCCCAGCAGGTAGTGCGAGTGGGTGCAAGTACAAGAAACTGGAAACAAATGGGACATATAGACCAAATAATAATTTTGCAATGTGGATCCACGTAATACTTCGCCCTGTTTTTTTAAAACTGTCTTCCGATGAGTTGTTAAAAAAGTGTTTGCACGGTCAAACTCAGAATTCAAATGAGGCACGGAATCATATAATTTGGAACAACTGTCCAAAAAATATCAATGTTAGTAGAACCATATTAGAACTTGGTGTTTATACAGCTATACTGGAGTTTAATGAAGGATCTTTTGGAATAGACTTAGTCTTTAAACAATGAAGAATTTTATGTAGTCAACCTTTTTTAAACTTTCATGTTGCAGAGATAGTTCAAGAAATAAAACTTTAGAAAAAAAATCGACTGATGGTGCAAAACAACGCAGAAAAACCATAAGAACTATAAAAAAGGATTTATTGACATTGAAGATGAATCAGGTGTTACAAAAAGTTATTCTGAGGACTTTTTTAAGATAATTTTTAAAATGGATTTTATGACACATCGAATTTTTCTTCGTTTTTCTTCACTTCAAACATAATAACTGGGTCAAAAATTTATTAATTCACTTGAACATTTAAGGAAATGTTCTTAATAATATTTTCTAGAGGATGAGCGGAGCAGATTTTTATTTTGATGTATATTTTATGTGACTGTTTTAATAAAATGCAAATAAAAAATCAAAAAAATAACAACTTTTAATAAAATATTCACAAAAATGAATCAAAAATGAGTTTTATCTTCATTAATTCAATTTTTTTTCGCTCATCTTCTAGTACAATATGTCAAGAAAAGGTTTGATAAATTTTATTTAAAATGAGCTAGGTTTTCCTTGAGTTATTAGGTTTGAGGTTTGCTATGATTTTTCCTCAAAATGTACCTATTTTTGTTAAATAAGTAAAAAAAATTAAGCAAGATTTAAAAATTTTTAATTTTTTTTTTATGAGTTGCTGAAAAAAAAATTGTATATAATAGCGAAAAAATTCATTTCTTTAAAAAAAAAATTATTGTGATGAACCACCATAATGCATTGCTTTCACGTTGCAACTCTAAAAGTAATGTTATTGAGATTGATTTAAATAATTCTCGTATAAAACTTCTTTCCGAAAACCGAAAAAAATTAGTTCCAATAATTAAAACAATAATATTTCTTAGTAGAAACAATCTAGCATTTCGTGATGATAGCAAATATCATCATAATATTGGGGAATCTTCTACACAAAAGATTGGAGTTGGTAACTTCATAGAGCTTTTAAATTTTCGTGTTGATGCTGGTGATCAAATATTTGCTAATCATTTTTTTTCAAGTCCAAAAAAAGCAACCTAATAATATATCATAAACTATCATAAACTAACAAACTATCATATATCAAAAACTACTCAAAACCAACTTATTGATTCTTGTGGAAAAGCAATGAGGAAGTTTTAATAGAAAATTTCAAGCATTAAATTTTTATTTTAATTCTTTGTGATAAAGCAGTTGAATGTTCAAATACAGAAAATATGTCACTTGGTTTTAAGATATTTAAATTCAAATAATGAGATTGTAGAGGCTAAGGTAATGACGGTGCAGGTTGTATGGCAGGTGAATATAATGGAGTTGCTTCTCGAATAAAAGATCTTAATCTTAATCTTAATATTTGTTCATTGTGCAAGCCATAGACTTAGTTTAGTAGTAACAGCTGCATACCAAGTTCAAAAAGTAAAAAATCTCCTAAACATAGCAACTGTCTAAATAAATATATAAGCCCAAGTCAAGAAAAAATAATATATACTTGTCAAACAAGATGGGTTCAAAAGCTTATATATTTTTATACTTTTATACCTACTTCATGATACTTTTATACCTATTATTCATGCTTTATAGGAAATGGGGTTAAATGAATCAAAGGAATTTAGTTATTTCATATTTTGTATATATATTTATTCTTTGTATATTTTTTTCGATTAGTAAAAAAAAAATGGCAAATTTAGATGAAATACATGAATATCGCGAATGGTGTAAATGGAATAATTATTTTAAATTTTTATTTAAAGAAATGTTTAAAGAAATGAGGCATTGATACTATAAACTTAATTATATTGAAAAACTTACTTCGAAGAAAATGAAAAGCGAAGCTCTATCTTTTTATCGAACATGTGAACTTGACTCAGACAATAATTGATTTGTTTTTTTAAAAATAAAAAGGAATGGATTCCAATGTGTATTACAATCATTATTTTGGATATACTAAATTTACTGCAGAGTGCCAAAATTTGATACAAACGATGAACTTAGAGAACAGTTTAATGATCAATAAAAAAAAAGTTGTCGATTTATTCAATTATATAGCATCAGATTATTGTGACGAAAAATATAATCCAGAAGAAACAAAAATTTTAATAGGCGAACTTTATAAAAGACCGTTTACAGTAGAAGAGTTAAAAGAAATGGAGGAATATAAAGGATATTTTGATAATTGTGTCAATATACTTTTTGCTATGTCATTTTGCACTTTTTTCGACCAAAATCAAACAAACCTTACGCGATCCAAAAAATATTATCAAATATGGCGGCAACTTCAAACTTTGATGCACAAGTAATTGGAGTTCTTATGTTACAAGACTTTAAACTTTGGAATACTGTTGCTCTTACAACATTTTTATCTTTTTGAAAGAAATCAGTTAATGGATCATTTGACACCTTGGTTTCACGGTGAGCTTTATTTAAAAACTAATATTTTAAAAGCTTATAGATTTATAATGATTATACATATTACACATTTTATTTACTTATATATACTTATATTTTATTTATTTATACAGCAATTATACCATAAACCGTAATAACAGTACATACATACA